TATACAGAGAAAATCACACAAAGAAGCATACACATACACACTCACGAAGAGAAAAAGGAAAAAAAAATATATATCGTTGCTCCCAAAGTCCACTGCCTCAATTTTGGGATGATTAATTGTCATTCAGGTATTCCACAGATGCAGGGTACATCAAGTTGATTGTGGTGATTTAATCCGCAGCTCCTGAGGCTGCTGGGAGAGATTTCCCTTTCTCTTCTTTGTTCGCACATCTCCTGGGGCTCAGCTTTGGATTTGGCCTGAGGGTGTCTGTTCTTTGCTCAGACAGGACGGGGTTAAAGGAGTGGCTGATTAGGGGGCTCTGGCTCACTCAAGCCAGGGGGAGGGAGTGGTACGGAATGTGGGGCAAGCCTGCACTGGCAGAGGCCGGCATGACGTTGCAAGAGCCTGAGGCATGCCATGTGTTCTCCCGGGGAAGTTGTCACTCCTGGGGAAGTTGTCACTGGATCACGGGACGCTGGCAGTGGCGGGCTGCGCAGGCTCCCAGGAAGGGAGGTGTGGATAGTGACCTGTGCTTGCACACAGGCTTCTTGGTGGCTGCAGCAGCAGCCTTAGTGTTTCATGTCCGTCTCTGGTGTCCATGCTGATAGCCGTGGCTCATGCCCATCTCTGGGGCTTGTTTAGGTGGTACTCTGAATCCCCTCTCCTCGTGCACCCCAAAACAATGGTCTCTTGCCTCTTAGGCAGTTCCAGACTTTTTCCCAGACTACCTCCAGGCTGGCTGTGGTGCACTAGCCCCCTTTAGGCTGTGTTCATGCGGCCAACCCCAGTCCTCTCCCTGGGATTTGACCTCTGAAGCCCGAGCTTCAGCTCCCAGCCCCCACCCGTCCCAGCACCAATCCTCTATGTGGGAATCTCTCTGCTTTGCCCTCTGCACCCCTGTTGCTGCACTCTCTTCCACGGCTCCAAAGGTTCCCCCCCACCACCCCCTGTCTCTGCCAGTGAAGGGGCTCCTAGTGTGTGGAAACCTTTCCTCCTTCACGGCTCCGTCCCACTGGTGCAGGTCCCGTCCCTATTCTTTTGTCTTTGTTTATTCTTTTTTCTTTTGCCCTACCCAGGTACGTGGGGGAGTTTCTTGCCTTTTGGAAAGTCTGAGTTCTTCTGCCAGCATTCAGTAGGTGTTCTGTAGGAGTTGTTCCACGTGTAGTTGTATTTCTGATGTATTTGTCGGGAGGAAGGTGATCTCCATGTCTTACTCTTCCACCATCTTGAAAGTCTCCTCTTACTTATCATTTTCAGGCTGTTTTGTAGTTAGTTCCCTTGTTCCTTTCTTCCTCTCTTGCTGACTTCCTTTAGGAATTGATGGTTTTCTATAGTGTTATGCTTTGATCCCATTTTATTTTTGTGTGTACCTTCTGTAGGTTTTTGCTTTGTAGTTACTATGAGGCTTACATAAACCATCTCAGAAATAAAAGCCTATTTTACACTGATAACTTTGATTGCTTAGGAAAACTTTAACCTTTAATTTCCCCATCACATTTTACGTTTTTGCTGTCACAATTTAACTTTTTTTATATTAACAAATATTTAGTTATTTTTTAATACTTTTTCCTTTTAACTTTTACACTTGAGCTAAGTGGTTAACATACCGCTCTATTAGAGTATTCTGAATTTAACTATATATTTCACTTCACCAGTGTATTTTCTTTGTGTTAGTAATTGGCTTTCTTCAGTTTGAAGTTCAATGTCCAGGGATCCTCAAAATAGCTTCTCTTAACCTTTTTTTCTTGTGACTGAGCCATGCTTTCATGTTTCTTTGCATTCCTCATTAACTTTTGTTGAAAACTGGCATTTTAAATATTATAATGTGGAATTCTGTATATTAGATTTTCCATTCCCTTTATGGTTTGTTTTTGCTGCCTGTTGTGGGTTGTAATTTGTTTAGTGACTTTTCCAAACTAAGTTTGTAAAGACTGTCTTCATTATCACGTGTGGTCAATGTAGTCTCTCTTCCATTAGCTTAGTAATCATATTGTGGTTTGAGAGATTTCATTCAATGCCTGGAGAAGAAACTTTAAAAAGGAGAGAGGGAGAGAGGACAGGAAGAAGGAAGGAAGGAAAGGAGGGAGACAGGGAGGGAGACAGGGAGGGAGGGAGGGAGGGAAGAAATTACTCTTTCAGTATTTGCAGATTGGCTCTTAGTTTTGATGCTCCTTCAATACCTAACCAGGCCATTTACCACTCTGCTTTCACCTTTACTTTCTGTGCAGTGCCAGAGAAGATAGCTTATGGTTTTCTCAGGTACTTTATTTCTCAGTATATGTGGGTTATCCAAGAAGCCCTTATTCCACACACATCTTTTTTTCTCAGCCTCCCCCCATGCTTTTGGTCTTTCTATTGCTTATTCCATTATTCCTTGCCTTAGTCTGCTGTGACCAATACTTTGCCTTAAAGTGTTGTATGATTCTCACTGAAGTCTGCCAATGAGACAAACCTGTATGGAATTTGGAAGGCAGAAGTGGAGCAGAAAATGTTAATCTCAGGAGAACTCAGTGACTAGATAAAAACTTTGCAAACCTCCCCACCATCCCTAGCTACACATTTAAGGCAGCGAGAGCAGTAACTTCTCAGACATAACCATAAACTTTGGCCTCTCCACCCATCCTGGAGTTTCAGGATGTAGTTGCCAGCAACTCTATGATCCACCAGTCTTTCATACATTTCACGATTCAAACTCATTTTAAATTCTTGCCCTAATTTATAAATGCTTCTTACTCTCAAGTAATTGTATGTACATGTCTTCCTAACCAAACACAGGTTACAATCTCCAAGAATACTATTTTTTGTTTTCAAAGTCTAGAAATCTCAACCAGCATGACTGTACTGGTTCTGTAGTCCATTGGTCCTCCCACAGTTTCATCCCAACATAAGAATGATTGATGAAATTTTAAAGGCTAATAAAGGAATTCTGATGCTTAAAAATATCGAACAGATGGGACAACTGGATACCTAAATGCAAAAGAATAAATTTGAATCCCTACCTCACATCCTATACAAAAGTTAATTCAAAAGACATCAAGAACTTAATGTAACAACTATAAAATACCTTGAAGAAAACATAGGTATAACACTTCCAGACACTGGTTATACGATGTTTTCTTAGATATAACACACCAAAAACACAAGCAACCACTCCCCAAAATAAAGTTTCATCAAAATTTAAACACTGTGTATCAAAGAACACTATCAAGAATGTAAAAAGACAATCACAAAATAGGAAGCAATATTTGCCAATAACATACCTAATAAGGAGATTATATCTAGCATATATAAAGAATTCTTAAAACAATCTAAAAGAGACAAATAACCCAAGTAAAAAATATGCATAGCATTTGAATACATATTTCTCGAAACAAGATACACCAATGGCCAACAAACACATGAAAATATGCTCAAGATCATTAGCCATTAGAAAACGCAAATAAAAACCACAAGGAGACACTTTACACCTGCTGAGATAGAAAATAACAACTGTTGATGAAGAAGTGGAGAAATTAATCCTCATACATTGCTGGTAGGAATATAAAATGGTGCAGCTGCTTTAGAAAAGCTTGGCAGTTCCTCAAGAGATAGGTAAGTTATTCTTATGACACAGTAATTCTACCCCTATACATATACCCAAGAGAACTGAAAACATATGTCCAAAAAAGTTGTAAATGGGCGTTCACAAAAGCATTATTTAAATAGCCAAGGAATGGAAGGAGTTCAAAGAATTTTATACTTCAATGAAGTATTCTTCAGCCACAAAAAGGAATCAAGTAATGATACATGTTACAACATGGATGTCTTGAAAATATTTTCTAAAAGAAAATATTTTCAGTGAAAGAAGGTAGGGACAGAGGCCACATACAGCTTTCACTTATATGAAATATACAGGATAGGGACATACATAGGGACAGAAATTACATTAGTAGTTTCCAAGGAGTGCTAAAGGGTATGGGGTTTCTTTGGAGGGGGTGATGAAAATGTCCTGGAATTAGTGCTGATGGTTTTGCAAAATTGTGAATACACAAAACCCACTTAATTGTCAAGGGGTCAATTTCATGTCATTTGAATTACATATAAATAAAATGAACGAAAAAATCTAATATTACATTGAATTCAGAAAAACGTTCTGATCTACTGACTCTGGTCTGCAACACCTTGGAGATACAGGGCTTAGCATCACTGCAACAATGGAATCAAGTGATGATGGTAGTAATAATAATGGCAAGAAGGGAAATAATTTGAGATAAAATAAGGTAAAATAAGCATATTTTTAACCAAAATTCCAGTATGACTTCTAGGACAGCAATAGGTCTCCTGCCTCCAAATTACAAGATTTCAATTCATCATCCCATATCATTCCAGTTCTTTCACTGCACTAAAGACATAAAAGACCCTCTTTCTTCACGTTCATAGATCACCTATTTTGTACCTAATGTTGTTATATGAGCACTACCTTATGTTGTGAAAGTTTCAAAATAACTACTTTGTCAGACTTCCTTGGTGGAGCAGTGGTTAAGAATCCGCCTGCCAATGCAGGGGACATGGGTTAGATTCCTGGTCCGGGAAGATCCCACATGCTGCAGAGCAACTAAGCCCATGCACCGCAACTACTGAGCCTGCATTCTAGAGCCCGCGTGTCACAACTACTTAAGCCTGTGCGCCTAGAACCTGTGCTCCACAAGAGAAGCCACCACAACACAGCACAACACCGCACACAGCAGCAAAGAGTAGCCCCCCGCTTGCTGCAACTAGAGAAAGCCTGCATGCAGCAACAAAGACCCAACACAGCCAAAAATAAAAGTAATAAAGTAATTAATTAATTTAAAAAAACACTTTGTCTATGTATCCTCCAAACGTTTTACTGACTATAGAGGTGAAATGTAAACTAGATATATAAATTAATTTAAAAGGTGTGAGGAAAAACGTGGTAAGGAAAAATTTTATAAGAACATAAAAGTAAATTTTAACACAGTTGAAAAAGAACTATGAACGATAAGCCTTATTACCATAATCTTAAATTGAGATTTTTATAGCTTTTGAAAACTTGCTCTAATAAAATTATTAAATCATATTTATTGTCTGATAAACATTTCTACACATTACTTTCATGAAACTACAATAAAAATACCACAGGCGGTTTACCTAAACAGTATTTCACAAACACTTTCAACAATTATATTGTATAAAGGATCCTATATGTGCAACAGAAAAGAATGTGTACACAGTTATTAACATGAGGAAAATTGTGGTCTTTCCCAACCAGGGAGTAAGAAAGTTCAAGAGTAAACATTCAGTGTTGAATTAGTCTTGAATTCATTTTTTATTATTTGACTACTAACAGCTTTTAAGTCTCCCACCCCTCTTCCCATTCTACCTAACTTAGGCAAGATGATTAGAAAGCCTGGGTCTCCTTTTCTTTGGCACTGGTGGAAAGTTTAAACCATTCAGATACCCTCTCTTCAGCCCCACCCATATCACCATAAAAACCCCATACCAACAAAACTGAAGAAGAGAACCCATAATACATTAATCATGACGACTTAGATCATAGTTTTACATCTATTATATACCACTCAAGCCCTCATTCAAATTTATACTGTATTGTTTCATAAATTCAGTGTTCCTGCTCTTTCAGGAAACTTTGAACATGAACCTCACCCAAGGAAGGATGTTCTTTCATCTGATTAAATCCTTCCCAGAGACCTTCATGGTGACATATGAAACAACAGTAACGAAGGCATAAAATAAAGATTTCAAAACTCAGGTTGAAAGCCATCAAAAAGTAAAGTAGCCTTTTCAAGAAATCTCAAATAAACACTTACTAAATTAAGATCACAGAACTTTTCCACAGGTATCCTTGTAACTTTGTCAGCCATTACAGGCTTTATGATTTTGATTTTTCATTACTAAGAAGGATTTAACTTGAATAACCTCTGATAAGAACTTAGTTTCCTCTAGTATGAATTTGATGTGCCTGTTGTGAGAAAATGGTGAAACAGTTTATCATATTCATTACTTCTAAGATTTTTCTACAATATAAATTCTGTGGTGAATCCTGAGGTCAGACTGTATGTTTCCTCTCTGATGTGAATCGTCTCATGTCCCCAAAAGTGTGAACATTTGATAAAAGCGTAACACATTCATTACATTTATAAAGTTTCTCCCCAGGAGGAATTCTAACATTACATAAGGCTTGATCTTTGGATAAAAGCCCTGCCATACCCATTACATTTATGTACTTTCTTTCAAAGATGTATATTCTGTTGTCTAGTTAAGTGTGAGCCCTACTTAGAGGCTTTGCCAAATCCGTGACTTTTATATGGTTTCTATTCAGTGTGGACTCTTTGATGTCGAGTAAGGCTTGAATATGCATAAAAGGTTTTACCACACACATTACATTTGTGAGGTTTCTCTCCACTATGAATTATCTAATGATCTCCAATGCATGATCTTTGGATAAAAGCATTACCATGTATATTAGGTTTACAAAGTTTCTTTTCAGTATGCATTTTCTGATGTCTAGTAAGGTTTGCAAATTGGCTAAATGCCTTGCCGCACTCATTACATCTGTAAGGCTTCTCCCCTGTATGGATTCTTTGATGTCGGGTAAGGGTTGAACACACATTAAAGGCTTTGCCACACTCATTACATTTGTAAGGTTTCTCTCCTGTATGAATTCTCTGGTGAATTACAAGATTTGAATGTTGACTACAGACCTTGTCACATACACTACATTTATATGGTTTCTCTCCAGTATGGATTCTCTGGTGTCTAGTGAGATGTGATACTCGGTTAAAGGATTTGTCACACTCACTACATTTGTAAGGTCTCTGCCCCGAATGAATTCTCTGACGATTAGTGAGATTCGAGCTTCCTCTAAAAGCCTTCCCACATTCGTTACATTTATAAGGTTTCTCTCCAGTATGGATTCTCTTATGTTGAGTTAGGCTTGAATGCCCAGAAAAAGCTTTGCCACACTCACTACATTTGTAAGGTTTCTCTCCAGTATGAATTTTCTGATGACTTGCAAGATTCGAATTCTGACTACAGCTCTTGCCACATATATTACATTTATAGGGTTTCTCTCTGGTATGGATTCTCCGATGTCTAGCAAGGTTTGCAAATTGGATAAAGGCTTTATCACATTCATTACATTTGTAAGGTCTCTGCCCAGAATGAATTCTCTGATGACTAGTGAGGTTTGAGCCGTCTCTAAAAGCTTTCCCACAGTCATTACATTTGTAAGGCTTTTCAGTAATATGTGCTCTCTGATGTTGTGTAAGTAATGAAGGATGTATAAAAATTTTCCCAGATTTATTACAAATGTTGATGCTGACACTAGGAAGAATTCTTTGAAGTGGTGGAGCAGAACAACTATTGTTGATCAACTTCTCAACTTGGTTGCATTTACAAATTTTCTCTTTGGTTTGAAACTTCTGAAGTTCAGCCAGATGAGACTGAAACCTTAATCCAACTTCATTCTCAAAACATGTTATATAAGTGTTTTCTGCATAGGTTATGTTATTTTTTAGTTCTAACAAAGACCTTATATATGACTTCTCATATTTATAACATTGATAAGTACTTTTTCTTACAGATACACTGCTTTAGAGGGAAATCATTCCAGGATTTGTTCTGTTGTTGATCTCTTCTACTAGTGAGATTTTTGTTATAGGTTGTAATAACTCCTTTGTAATTTGTTTCATCATATCCACAATGACTTTCAAACTCATGCATATTTTGCTGGACTTCCCTGAAATCAAAATCCTTGACGTCATTTCTTTTGTGTCTTCCCAACATCAATATTCGGAATAATTCTCCTTTGTTAATATCCTCTTTTGGTGACAATTCCTTGATCACACATCGAGTAGAGATATCTGAAAGATATAAACAACCATAGGTTTCCTATTAACTAGAGCTGTAAAATAAACATTTTATACTGAAAACATCGTATTAGACCAAAAGTAATACTTATAAAACTCCTCAACCATGGTATGCAAATATTAGAAATACAAAGAGAATAGGATTCCTCAATAAAGAAAGGGTGATTACAGGGACTTCCCTGGTGGTCCAGCAGTTAAGACTCCATGCTCCCAATGCAGGGCCCAGGTTCGATCCCGGGTCAGGGAACTAGATCCCGCATGCTGCAACTAAAAAAAGATCCCGAATACCACAACTAAAGATCCCACATGTCACAACTAAAGATCTCACAGGCCACAACTAAAGATCCTGTACACCGCAACTAACACCCAGCGCAGCCAAATAAATAAATATTAAAAAAAAAAAAGGGTGATTACAGGTAGACAAAATCATTTGTAGGAAAGCCTAGTTACAACACCCTGGGATCAAACCACTCACAGTATGAAAATTTACATAGGCCCTGAAACAGGTGGTATCCTTTTATCACCTCAAAGTACACACCAATTGTCAGTAGACACATGGGTGTCTCATATTTGAAGAAAAGCAATATTATATAACATTTACTATATAATAATTGTACCCAAATAAATGTTAAAGCAGAACATTATATACTGTAATGGTAAATAATCTCTAACAAACTTATTTAAGTTTGTTAAATAAGTGGCTATTCACAAGTACAAAATAAAAATAGCACTGGGAAAATAAGAAAGAACTTGATAGAAAATCACTGTAAGAATAACATAATATTGTTCTGAATTCCTATAATAAAACTATCTATACTCATGCAGAATAGGCATTTTGAAAAATCAACCACTCGTGTATGACAGTCATAATACACAAAAGATACCGAAAACCCATTATCTATAAATCATAATTTTAAAAAATCATTTTAGAAACCCATGATAAATCCAGAAGATAAATAATAAGTAAAAAAAATTATAAAACAGTGTAATCTGTGGTATTCTAAATACTTCTTCCTTCAGTACAAATAAGGGACTTCTGTTCTAGAGGAGTACATAATATGAGAACTGGAAAATATGTTAAGAACCACTGACTTTTGAAATATCCAGTTCAGCTAAATACATAATATTTTAAAGGCTAAGAAGTGGGGAAGTAATCAGAAATAAGAATTATGATTTCATGCCTGCAGTTAAATAACAGTCAATAAAAAAGAGCAATTCTGCAGTCACAAAATACATGTACTACAGAGTATGTGCTTTGAAAATGTATTAACTAAAGTCAGAGACAACACTGATAAGGAATAAATTGCAAAATGAACACAGACAAAATATAATGCAAGCAAAGGTAAATCTCATAGTTTTAAACATAAGAGAAAGTTTAAAAGTCTTAGGAAATAAAGCTACATTTTCATATCTTACTATATACCATGCAATGTTCTAAGGCCTCTAAAGTCATTAACTTATTTAAATATTCTTGAGGTAAATTATCATAAATTTTCAGATTAAAAAAACAATGGCCCGTGGAGTTTATATAGCCAATAACAATTTACACAGAAAGTAAACTTGAGAGCCAAGATTTGAACCTGGGCTGCAGGGTCACATCACACGCTCTTAGGCACTAAACACCACTGCCCACTCAGGAAGTAAGCACAAAGGTCACAGTAAATCCCAGCAGCATAGAGAAAGGCTTGAAGAAAATCACAGGAAGGCAGCTGTGTTACTAATAGTGCTACTGAACTCTCTCTCCTGGATAACGGCATCTGAGCCATCACTTGCTGAACATGTTGGTTTAGACAGCTAATAGACCATGGTGTTGTCCTGATCAAGCTGTCCTCTGGAAGAGAAGAGATCTTTATACAGGGTGGGGGAAGAGGTAAGGGGAGGGAGTTCTGAAGCAACTTGGACATTCAGCGGCTAAAATCAATATGCTAAGGAGGTAACAGTATGCTCCATCCAGATCAATAGACAATCTGAGGAAAGGTGAAAGAACAGAGCTTGTGCTTACAACTGTGCTGGGACAGTGCAAAAAAAAATACACTGATCCATTCTGTGGGAAATATACTATGGGTGTGGGGGAATAATGGAAGAGGTTAAAGAGGGAGTCAGTGTGATACAGTGGGACATTTACCACTACTCTGCTATTTGCTCTGATGTACCAAAATGAATATCCTTAGATTCCTACTTATAGGCATATATTCAAGAGGCTTGAATATTCCATGAGATATGGACAAAAATGTTAATAGGTATTAAAAGCAAAATTCTAGAAATGGCCATCAGAAGGGGAATGAATAAATCCACTTTGTACATACACGTGCAGATGCAATGAAACTGTCAAGAATCCAGCAGCTGGACTTCCCTGGTGGCACAGTGGTTAAGAATCTGCCTGCCAGTGCAGGGAACACAGGTTCAAGCCCTGGTCTGGGAAGATCCCACATGCCGCGGAGCAGCTAAGCCCGTGTGCAACAACTACTGAGCCTGCGCTCTAGAGCCTGTGAGCCACAACTACTGAGCCCACGTGCCACAACTACTGAAGCCCATGCACCTAGAGCCCGTGCTCCACAACAAAAGAAGCCACTGCAACGAGAAGCCCACGCACCGCAACAAAGAGTAGCCCCCGCTCGCCACAACTAGAGAAAGCCGTGCAGCAACAAAGACCCAATGCAGCCAAAAATAAATAAATAAATAAAGGAATCCATCAATGGAGGGTAACCATGAGTGCAAGGTGAGGAAAAAGAGTTGAAGGGAGACAAAGTTAGCAGCAGGTTTTTGTCAAGGTTTGAACTTTAGGGAAAAAGTGATTATTTTAGCTAAAAAGAAATAACATACAAACCACACTATTAATTACATATTTTCTAAATAGAAATTCACCAATTTTGGCATGTTAAACTTTTTGAGGCTGTGTCCTTATATTTGTTATATAAAGATAATAGTGTTTATTTTGCTAGCCTCCTCTAATTATCTGAAATCATATATTTGGATCTCTTAATACAATCAGAAACATGAGACATGAGATGAGGAATGCTCTTAGTATACACAGCAGTGGATATATAGTTATTATGAATCAATGGAAATTAACATGTACTTATCCAAAATTAATAAATTTGGACTTCATAGTGATCATCAGAACATAAGCAACCTCAAGGGAAAAACAACTCAATGACTCATAGTGGGGAGTGGATTCTACTGATTCTACTGAAGGGCAGTTGTTAGTAGCAGGAGATTGTAGAAACAACTTTTGGTAGTGCCATGGAAGAGGTCGACGTGGGAAGAGGTGGTCAGTAACATAAGCAGTTGACTGTAGCCAGAGAACAAGAGAGCACTGGGATGTGGGTGAACAAGGACCAGGTGAACTTTTTATGGAATCCAGTTTAAAACATGAGGATCAAAATAGCCATCAAGTGTTAACTGAAGAATGTAATTTCCAAAACATTAGAAATTTTGTGCAAAACACAAGTGTTACAAGCAATAGGGTCGAGGACGTACATGGAGTGGAAGAGATTGGCTAAGTTTCCAGTAAAATACAATGAGATATTTAAATATTAGTTTAACATACCAAGATGTACAAAATGAATCTAGACAGGGAAATTCATTATTAGAATAAAGCATTTGAACCAAAATATAAAAACTCAGTAAGATTCAAATAAAATCCAAGAAGTTGTATTTAGAAAACTTAAGGTATACTACAGAAAAAGAAAAGAAAAGCTTAATATACCCTATACAAATTATGGAAGATCAATTTAATGGTATTTCTGGGATAAACAGAGTAACAATAAAAAAAAAGTATATTCTCAAAATATGCAATAGCCCCAGTTTTAAAAACCCAATCAATTGAGAAAAAAGGTACTTTAATAGTAGCTAGTACATCAGGTGAAAGAAAAATAAAGGGGCTAAGACAATTTTCCCACAAAATTCAGTAGTGAATACATTTGGGGGAAACTGCTGCTGAGCCATAACTTTCAACGCTCAAAAAGGAAATGTTGTAAAATATATTAAAAATATTTATTACTCCATCCAACAGCCCCATGAATTGTAGATATAAAACAGAACTCTGAGTGTCGTCAAAAATACGTAATGAATGATTAAATAAATTTTTTAAAGTTCATTCATAATACTTGGAAATGTGCATAATGAAAACGGCAGTGGCTTAAACATAACAAATTAGGGTAGACTTAAAAAACGGGGGTATCATTTACCTTCCTAAGTTCCGTCAATATGATGCATTACAATCATATTTGTTTGAAGGATACTGAACAATGGTGCATGTATGGGATGAACAATTTGGCATGAAGAAGAGTTTGACCAACGCCTCACAGATACACAGCTGTGACAACGTTCTCCCTGGGATAAATGTGTATGCCTGTGATTGTTGGTTCAAAGGTAATGGTCACTAGATATTTGATCAACAATGCCACGTTCTCCTTCAAAGACAGTGTAACACTCCACAAAGAGCAGAAAGACAACTACAACCACTTACTGGTCAGACTCTCCCGATACTTTCTATCTCAGCATCCTAGGACTTGGGATCACTCAGTGGCTTAAACGGGCACCTCTGTAAGTAGCGAGATGGCACTGTAGTATATTAATCAGAGTGTTCTTCAAAAATTTTCTGTTACAAGGTAAACTCCCTCCATAGGTAACTTCACCAGTTGTCCATCATCCAAAGTGAGTTATCACAGCAAAAAAAGAGGATGATATTCCAATTTCAGAAAA